TCGACTCCTTTATCATATAGCTAGAACACTCGGTGCACGCAAGCTATTCATTGGTAGATTATAGCCTACTACTTGAACCTATTTTCTCACATGATCAAGGCTGTCCATTAAAAAGCCTTAGTTGGTACTTTTCCAGGACCTTCAGATACGATTGGTGTTTGTGTAGGTTTTTTTAAATTGTAGTTGTTCGACTCTTTTACCTTAATATAGCTAGAATACTCTGTGAAAAATCAGATATACCCCCATATAGTTCTCTTCATAATACAAAATAATATCCAATTATAAAACGGTTATTGAAAACTCACATCCAATCCAACACAGGAAGGAAATTGTAATGAGAACGTAATGGTCGCTTTACTTACGTACTCCCCGTAAAATGATCAATGGTTTAGTCAAGACTATTTCCATAGTATTTTAGCACTTACACTCTTATAGCTTTGTATTAAGGATAAAATTAATTTCAAAGTGTGAACATTGGTGAGTCTTGGCTTGTACGTGTTAGTTGTTTAACAACAGTTGTACGTGGTTTAGTTTCACGTTTTCCATCACGTGAAACGTAAGGGTGACGTCCGCTTTCCCGATCAACGAGACTTTTCCCTGATCCGTGTGTGACATTCAACTAATTTGTGGACCTGCAGAATGTATGACACATTATGAACCTTAACTCCTCGCAATAGCGGACAGGTAAAGTAACACGCGCGTTGGAGTGATTGATCGTGCTGTATTGGTAAAATGGAACGACATAACTCGTTTGGTAGTGTTTTGATTGGAAATCTTTCGAGTGCAATAAGTGATGACGGCGTCTCTTCCCTTTGCTTTGCACGTCATTTGCATTTTCTTTACTTAACCTTTCCGCGGTACATAACCAACCTATTCAATTCATTTCAAAAATAATTTATTGTGTTTAGGCTTTTACAAGCACATGTGAAAGTTGAAAACTACGCCATCGGTTCGCAAAACTACGGCGGGAGACCTTGTACTGAGAAGAACCGGCAAGAAACTCAGCAAGGCCAGCTTTTTTCTCCCTGTTTTATTTGATACAGTGTCGTCAAATTGAAAGTTGACATCAAACTTGCAAACATGTGTTGTGGTCAAGTTCCATCACATAATGTCAAAAAGGTAACAATAGACAATCATCGAATTTACCAACAATAATTATAATATATTTACTAATAACAATATATTTACTAATAATAACGAATTTAATAACATTCCTACTGCTAGGGCACAGGCCTTACCTATGCACTATGGAGCGAACAGGGAGATACATACTAAGTTTATAGAGGGATATTCGTTTTTGGTTAAGCCAATATTTGAAACGAACAAATAATGCTTTCTGCATCTCGTATAGGTATTTTTTTTGTAAAAACCCCGCAGGCGAATTTTATATTTGAAAAACGAGTTATTAGTTTTTTTACTAAATATTTTATATGTATCAAGTGAAGCAGCCCATTTTTAATGCTATTTCTCCCGAGACTAATTCAATGTTATAAATTAAGAATCAAATTATTTTCTTTTTGCACTTTATGTGTCTGAGTCTGAGATAATCTGTTCAGATTTATCTTTAGTAAATTTTTGTCATTAACCTCTGTTATTCCTGGCATTTTCTTCGTAAATTTTGAACTTTTGAATAGGCCGTTAAATTGGTCGCAGCGAGTTGCAAAGTAATTTTCACCTTTTTAATTCACATCGCCAATCGTATTATGAAAAGACGAATTTTATTCTATCTTCTATTTTTGTTAATTACCTTAAAATTATAGGTAACTGCTGAGAATTGTACTGTTTCTTAGAATTGGAGCGTCTTTCGATACGGTGTTTACAACCTCATTAGCAGTTGGGGAGAATTGCCAACATTAAGAAAAATAAAAAGCAATCGTTCTAACCTATTTGCTGACCTCACTTTGCCTCTTTTGTTCTGTAACAATCTTTGCCCTCTTAGGGAAATGTCCGAAATAACATCAACATGTTCTATGGTTTAAAAGAAGTATTTTGGATTGATTTTAATTTTCATCAAAAAAAGGGTTTTAAATTCATAGTTTCCAAGAACAATTAAATCCATACAATAAATTTGCCTATTCTAAACTCATCCCCTATCTCTTGGGTCTCCAACCACTCACAAATAATGCTATATGATGGTGTTGTTTGGTTGCAATTCTCGAAAATTTTCAATATTTTCACCAAATTAAGTTCAACTCAAAAATCCGCTGTGTATACGATTTTTATTTAAAGAGTAATCAATATCAAACCTCTATTTGACAGCAGACTAACAGAAACTATCAGTATGATTAAAAACCAACTCGAAACTCTTCAAAATTAAAGAGAAATAAAGAATGATTTCATAGAAATCAGAAATGTCAAACACTAAGAAGATGACAAATTCTAAACGACTGAACATTATATTATCTGGAAAATAAAGATGAACGTGGTGATTTTTATAAATAAAGTCAACTATTTTGTGAGAAATTGTGATTGAGGTGAGACTAGTGTCAAGTTGATTCAATGAATAGGATGAAAAAAAAACTGTACAACTTTCTCGCGTGGGTTGTTGTCTTTTGTGAGCAGAGAGCATACGGCCACGATTCCTTTGAAAAATACGCCACGCGATTTGTTCTGGTCTTAAAATAACCGTAGAACTTAATAGTTTCAAACTTGCTGTAAAATGTCATTCTATTTAATGTTGGAAAATTACCTGCACTCTAAGAAAAGCCTTCATGATAAAAAGAAAAGACAAAACATCGGAAACCCCTACCGAATCCGTTATCGTTTAAGGTGGGCTTGTCATTTTAATTATCACTATTAGTTTACGGTTTGTTTACTAATGCGTAACAATCTTTTACAATATTGGTCATCGCAGAGTCACCGGCGCTCATTGGGCCATTGCCAATGACGTTAGCGCCGTTTCTAAGAAGGCATCAGTTCAACTGAGCACTACTTCACGACAAGACATTTCAGCAGAAAAAGTCTAAATATTGCGCGCGATCATCTTTATAGACTAGACGGTTCATTGACATTTAGGACGTATCGGATTTTCCTCCCCCCACTAGGCAACCTAAAATGTTCGCTGGGAGTTCCGTGAAAAAAAATATCTCGTGTTTCCCACGTGCCAACATTTGCTGGAAGTTGACCAATTAAGACATCGGTTCCCGGATGTCAAATCTCTGTGCTATTAACCTATTTGTTGTTTATTGTTTGAAAAAAGTAATGTGATAATTGAGATCATTATTAGCTACATTTCTTTATGCTCAAATCTCAAATAATGTAAATATCATTCTGCATGGGAAAGTTTACAACTTAAGTTTTACCTGTCTTTTTTGAAGTGATTTTTTTCCTTTACTCCACACGTTTTTCGTACACCTTTAGCAGGTCGCATTACATTTTAATTGTTATTAAAAATTCAGACCTTATCTACAAGCATAGGTTGTTCATTGGAAGAAACCTCGCCTGCTATGCGGGCGACCCGGCTTGGATTCCCAGCCGAGGAACGACTTTTTTAGTAAAGTTTCACTCGTGATTTTAAAAGCAACATCATCTTCATTCTTTTGCTCGAAGCTCAGCATCAGAGTGATAAAGTGATCATACCTTAAAAGAATACTTCAAAAGTTTCTTTTTACCTGTAGACGAGATTCGAACCTGCGACCTTTCGCTTTCGGCTGTTGAGCAAACAGAGAACTCAAAAATAAATAAAAGTGTAACACTCGAAAGAAATGCTTAAATAGTTTAACTTTCTCTTTAGATGATAAGGCGTTTGCGAAATGTTTGAAAACTTTCAAAATAAAGTCTGTTTGCCATGCAAATATGAAAAAGGCAAGCGAAGTGAATGCAAAATTTACGACATCATAAATATTTCAGAACATGTGGTGCTCAAGATATGTATATCTTTTAATGACTAAACTTTCCCCAAAACTGCTTGCTTTAATAAAAACATATATTAGTAATGTAACATCATATTAAAAAGAAAATTATAAAAGATAATAAACTGACCAAGCAAATATATAATTATGTTACAAAACATAGATTTATTGTGAAATAAAATAAAAGAAAACCTTTAGATGTTTGTTAATATTATAAATGATATAAAACTTGTATTCTAAACACAAATCTACCGTAACCATGAACTATTTAGTTTCTGTTACTCCGCTAGAGATTATAATCTGCGGCGCTATTTCGGTGAAGGACATAGAGCGATGATGGATGATGGCGACGGGGCCTCATCATCCTAGTTTCACCCTGCCAACTCAAACTGACGTCTTCCTTCTCCAGTGTTTGTTTGTTGTCTGTTTAAGAGTTCATTTTATTTTATAATCATAATCAGCTCATCGCTCAGTTAACCATTGTCCACCATTGGATAGGTGCCAAGGTGAACGAAGTTGGGGTTTTGAATCATTGACTCTTTGTCGGCCACGCTAGCCCAATGAATTTGATGAAACACGAACACGATGAGTAGAGTACGGTTCCTGATTTTTTTTATCAATATTGTTCGCGTTGCTAACAGTTTCGCAGATTGTAGAAAGTCTGTCAACTATTTTTTTGTAGGTTGCCGATTTATTGTTCACGTCCATCCGTGCACTTAATACGGCTATTAATTTTTTCTTTTTATAAATTTCACAGCAGTCTTTTGTTTTCGCTTTGTACATGATAGTACACAAATAGTAGAAGCCATGAATTAGCGACTGTCGTGCGAATCCGGGGTGTTTGATAGTTTATGATATCTTAAAGTGTAACTAAAAAAAATTAAAAAAATTACCTGTGACTCTGAATCCCCCTCACCACCACTGGACCTCGGAAATTTCAAAAATTTGATCGGATTCAGGAAAATAAAAATTTATGATAACCCTGACATAGACCGGTCTATGTCAGGTATTTATTTATGTATGTACACCGATTACTCCGAGATTTCTGATCGTAGTGCTTATTATGTTTTTGTTGTATCCTTTATCTATTATCCAATGCAATGTTAGTTAGGCCACACATAAGCTAAGATTACACCTTCCTTGTAAAGAATGGTAATGCAATGCGTGTACGCAGCCATTGTTGTGACGCACGCGCAAATTCATTTAGTACGTACGATTGTATTATGTGCCATTGTTTAATTTGATTGGAATCGCCCTATTATGACGTTCGGTTCTAAGGATAGAACCATTTTATTTGTTAATTGTCTGTTGTGTTAAATAGAACTAAATTTAAATATAATTTTAAATATTATTATGTCATCGGAAGTGATGGAAAAAAAAACTCAACATAGAATATGGCAAAGCTGCTCTGTCGTGATAATTAATTTCGTTGTCCTTTTAACTCGACTTTTGAATTATTTATTTAGGTAGATTAATTACGATACAACCCAAATTCAGCTTGCCTACCTTTATTCGACAGACTTGAATTGAAAAATCTCCATATAAAAAAAAAACATTTCTGCATTGTTATAAAATATGTGGTCTGCCATATTGTTTCCGTTCTGATGCCGTGTTTGTTTTGCTAAATATGGGAATATTATCTCACCTGATATTGAACATAAAGAAACAACTGACAATCAGTCTGTCAATTAATTTATTTATTATGCATTCTTAACACTTCAGTAAGCAGGTGCTGACGTTTCACCTCGATCGAAAATCCATGCATGCACGCACAGGCTTGTAAACATTAATCGAAATAACATTGTGACCTACATCTTTGTGTCGATATCATAAACATTAATGAGAGTAACCGATATCGTTAACACGAAGGTTTGGCGCTTTTTTATATTTGTCGGTATTTTAAGTTTAAGTACTTACTTGAAATATCATTTCTTTAGCCCGATCCTTTACACTCTCCTTAAACATACTGTCACGACCGAGAAACTTATTTAGAAGCTTTATTCTCTTCTTCTCACATTCAGACCCGTGTTCATTGCTCAAAGGCTCAAGCATGAACTTTGACAGATCCGTAATCGTATCGTCGTCGTCAAATTTTGTATGAAGGGAGCCAGTTTGTTTTTACGTCCGGTAACCACTGCTTTTTTTTTCATAGATAAGTCCGATTAATGACTCCACCCAACCTGATGTTGAGTGACGGTTAAGTCCAGACGCCAAGATAGCTGATACAACAGTTCTACCTGCCACACCAGCCATCCTCACCCTGCCGGCCTGCATGTTGCTTATTGACGCCTCTTTTAAAGGAAAAAGCCTCTTTACCTTTACTTTACGATTACGGAGCTATTAAAATTCGTGCTTGGCGCTCTGATCATTGTTATCGAAATTCGTTCGTTTGTTATCTAACTATTTGAGTTAGATAGATAAAAAAATTATTCGCACCAACATGCACACATACAAAACTGTCAAAAAAATACAAATTTTATAATCATATTTGTCTTACACAACAATCAACAAACATAATAATTATTGTAATAATCTCGTGTGCAGCTGCGATGTGAATGGGCGAAAACTCAGCGTATATTGAGTGAGAAAATTACTGAATTTCAGTTTTGAACCCAGAAAGAGTTAGTTAGTTCTTCATAAATTTTATTTGCGAAATATTCCAATAATCTGGTCCTTAATTAGCTGTCATGCTATTTGTCTACGAAATCTCAGAATTACCTTTATGAGTTACAGCTGATGCTCTCAAAGTTTGCGGCGGTTTTGCGTTATAATTGTTTCCAGCTTGTAGTTTCTTCATTGTTCGCGTCAACATTGTGTGGAGTATATCAGCATTTAACTGGAACAATCCGTCATTTGATTTTGAGTGCTTTTCCTCGAGATATGTTCGTGGAATATGTGTGTACAAAGGTCGTTCTCAAAACTACCATTAAATTTCCATTCTGTTACTACAGTAACATGTTTACAAAAAAACTAGATGCTTGAATTTCATACTTAAGTACATACATTACCTTTGTATCTTCTTTAAAATTGCACCGATAAGGCTCTGAGAACTTTTTTTACGAATTAAATTTAAAAACCTTAATATCAGTAATCAGTTTTAGAACCCATAATTTGTTTAATTCAAAACCATAAACGAATAAACCTATTGACCTCTTATGACATATAAATGCTAAATCAGAGAATTGTCATTTTGGTCAACGATCTTTTAAATCCATTCTGATAGTCCAAATGCTAATGTGTGTCTGTCTGTCTGTTACCTCTTCATGCTTAAGCCTAGTATCGTAGATACTTTGAGTCCCGGGAAAGGACACTAGAAATTACCCTTTAGGGGGCGTGAAAAGGGGGGGATGGGAAACCATTTTTTCCACGCAAGTCGAAGTAGCAATTAATAAAATGTTATATTCAAGACTTTGTTTATAAGACTATAGAAATTACATAATAATATCACTCACGCTTTATTAGGCAAATTGCAGACTAATATCTACCCTAATTTGTTTGATGCAAAAACTCTTTTTTTTATCATGCCAATATTTACTCTCCGAATTTATGGCGGGCCATGTTTTTGTTGAGGTCTCTTACTATTTGCGTTATTAGATGAAATCCAGATAGTAGTCTTAGAAAAAAGATCGGAGGGGAACGTTTTCGTAACCCAATTTGCGATGTATCCAGATTTTTTATTACTTGTAGAGTTTACTCAGAATCGATTTCCTGTTTCAGGTCATAGACTTCGGCAGTTCGTGTTACGAGCACCAGCGGGTGTACACCTACATACAGTCGCGGTTCTATCGCGCGCCCGAGGTCATGATGGGCGCGCGGTACGGCATGCCCATTGACATGTGGTCGCTGGGCTGCATCCTAGCAGAGTTGCTCACAGGTAATATTGTTGTTTTTTTTATTCACTGACTTCAATTAAGGTGGAGGTTCTCAATTCGTCAGTACATCTACTGTCGCACGAGGAGGTTGTGGCATTAGTGCTGCGTGTATACTTATTTCGGGAGATAACGTAAGCAAAAGAGGTGGGGGATCCGTAATTTCATTTAATTTTTTGAAAGGCACTTGCCACATGACTATACTCTGGAATAAACGACGTGGGACACATGCGTTAGCTCTCGGAGTGGGAGCAAGCAACATGTTCCGCGTCACGTGAATGTGTCGCAAAAAGTGTTGGGGGCAAGATGGGGGGGGGGGGAGGCATTGCAGCGTCACGTAGATTGAGCGTTGCGCATCATGTCGCGGGACATTTTCCTCCCTAATGTATTCGAGGTTTTTAACACACACACCAAATGTATGGGCGCTTTCAATTTAAGCGTTTCTTGACGGCCTGCTGCGGTGCCGAAGCGGTGCGTTTGTCGTACGTTTTGTGTGAAAAAAAAAGGATCGTCCGTACGCTGTACGACAAACGCACCGCTTCGGCACCGCAGCAGCCGTCAAGAAACGCATAAATTGAAAGCGCCCTAAGGCTTATGTTATGGGATAAAAGGGTAACGGATAAAATACATAATATACTGCTACATAGAAAGGTACGTATATTTTGTTTTATTTAGAAATAGATATAAGCATCCATGACTAAGGTACAAATGTTCATATTCATCACATAAACTTTTGCTCCACCGGTATTCGATCTCGCTGAATAGGCAACACCTTAAAAAAGCGTACATACCTACCACTCAATACGTGGAGGTCGTCAATCTCGAGCTCCTCCGTGCTCTGGAAGGCAGGTTAAGCCATTGGTCCAAGCTGCATCTGCAGTCGTTAGCACCCACCAATCCGCACTGGGCTTGCGTGATAGGTAATGGGCTAATATCCCTATTCCATTCATAGTGAAAGCCTGTGCTTGCAGTGGGGATATTAATAGGCTGATGTTGATGATGAGGTGTGCATTCTGAAAACTTGTTTTAGTAATTATATAGACTTTTCCTCTCTTCGGTATAACTGGCTGTAGCAGTAAAAGAAGCTTACTAGGTCAATAATGATTTATCATTGTCAATAAACGGTAGTTCTTGAAAAAAAAAGGAAATCGTTTCATGTTTTACCGCCATTTGCTGTATCATAACACCTCAACGATTCCAGGTTTCCCCCTCTTGCCCGGCGAGGACGAGGCGGACCAGATGGCGTGCATCATTGAGCTGCTCGGCATGCCCCCACAGAAGCTGATAGAACAGGGGAAGCGGTCCAAGAACTTCATCAGCAGCAAGGGTCTTCCGCGGTACTGCACCGCTACGACGCTCGCGGACGGCACCACGGTTCTCAGCGGAGGTTTGTTAAATCAATTTTACCTTCATTGGTCAATTCAAGATTACATTTCACTTGAGTGTAAAATCATGATGGAAGGATTTTATCAGCAGCAAGGGTTTTCAGCGGTACTGCAAAGCCACGCCGTTCACGAACGGCACCACGGTTCTCGGTGGTCTTGTTAACATTCTAGGCAGGGTAAAAAGATTCTATTGGAAATTATCTAGTTTATGTTGTTCTGATCTCAAGCTATGTAATCGCATTTTATGATCCTATACAAACAAGCGATACATTTTATTTCTTAAATATCTTACTAAGTTACTTGAATAACTTTTGGCTTAAAATATGTATACATGAAACTATTATTAACGATGTCGATGTGCTGTCTGGTCAGTGAACTAAATATTATTTTAATTGACAATATATTGTATTTTTATTATACTATTAGCAGGTGTAAAAATTGGCTAGAAAGAGTAAAACACTTTTATTATTTAATAATTTACTCTTTCTAGCTAACTTGTCTGTTTTGTATAGATAAGACAATTCGAATAAATAAATTGCTTCTTCCGAATATTTCAGCTATTAAATTGCTTGTTGATCTTCAGATGGGCTGCATTTTTATGATCATCTCTATAAATAAAGTGGTACTCAAAGTATTTACAAAACATACCTACTTTCTCTGCGCAACGTCACATGCTGTGTGCATGCCTCGGTGATTCAGGCGGTGTTATAATCTAATAGTAATAAATTTATTCCGTTTTTCGTCACTGAAAGTTGTGTCTGGGTTGACTCATTTTCTTAATCAGACAGCAGATGAGCAGACTACTACTGAAACGTATGACGCATACGAAGTTTTCTTAATAGTTTTAACAGCAGAGACTTCTACTATTTATTAAACGACGAGTAAGCGAGCAGTTATATTTCGGGGCGATGCAGTTGATGAAATATATATATGTCTTTTAACTTACCTTAATACAATATGAAGGAGAATAATCATCTCGAGAAATTTTAACGAACCGCCTTACTTCACACAATACGGGTTTGGGGAAAACTAACTTCTTGAAATTACTGCCTCTGCTTACGAATATGTCTGGTTTTGACCACTTCTGCTTAAATATACCTCGTAATATCATTGTTTGATTCGACTATTTCGTTTTTTGTCTACTTTCAGTACAGTGTGCGAAAGGTTAAAGAAATATGTTATAATTTTGTGGAGATATTTTCTCTCGTTTTTCTCCGCAGCTAAAAAATATGTCCAATAACGAGTGGTAGGGAAAAATAATTTTACGATTCAAAAGAGTTGTACTATACATCGAATTTGAATAAAGATATATTGATTTAAGGAAATGGTCAAAAGCAGAAATAGTTCATACAAGAATAGGCTTTTCAAGAGTGGTCGAATCCAGAAGAGGTTATAACTAGGAAAAGACCGATGAAGAACCAGTTCTTTTTTGGTCTTGAAAGGTCTGTAACGGTCGTCTTTAATACTGCAAACAACATTCATTGTCAGCAATCTTCTACAAAGTTCTGAATGCATCCCAGAATGTAGCTCAGATTCAATTGGAAAATCTTTCTTTATTTAGCCAATGCTAATATATCAATTCTGAATTCTCATTATAAGCATCGACTTCATCAACCATATCACATTCAACGTGATATTCATATAAGTAATAACAAGTATCAGAAGTTCTTCCTAGCTTAGTGGGGGAACTTCAATGATCATGTCATTAAAACTTCGACTATCGCCAGTTACTGAACCCCGCTCCATTACAAGATTCGCTTTGATTCGAACGTCTGGTGTTTTTGGTGTGATGCCAGCAAATGTCTGTGGCTGGGCATAATCCTCAGTGTCTTACTGTGAGAGTGTCGCATTACAGTTAAACGAGATGTTAATTATGTTGATATTTGTTGTCTTATTTATAGTCAACTGGGGTAATTGGTCTGTATTATCCTTGGATTCAACTTTGTTTAGTTTTACTGCTAATTAATAAAGCTGTAATTGTTTCCTATAAACACAACAAGAAATAAAAGATGTCACTAGTTTAACGCTTCAAAATCATACGAATCTTAATAAATGATTAATGAAAATGATTTGAACTAGCTCGCTCTTCGATCAACAATTCTACACGTATTGATTTTGTATGGTTGCATACAAAATCAAAGCTAAAAACTGTCCGCGTATGTTTAAACTTATGCAGTTACATTCGATTCCCAATGAACAAAGATAAATGTTTTGAAACAGTTTAAGTTGAACCTAATAACAACTATCTCACAAGGGAATAAGTACACATGAGATGAGTATGGTCACAAATGACAAAATGTTATTTCGCACATACGACCTTTTATTTCATAAAACGAACTCTTGTTCCTTTTATTAATTATATCTGATACTTGGTAAAGGTGTAAATAGGAAAGTGTAAAATCAACCTTATGACCCACAATATAAAATATTTTTACAAGTCATTGGCCAGCGAGTTACTTCGTTTAGTATTAAGCATACTAATTTCAAATAAGATCTCACGCCTCAAGTGAGGCTATATTTACCGAGACGGATTGTACGCGCTGACCCGTTGTCTATAGAAATGGTTAATCGAAGAGCGTTGAGGCAGACTAGATCTAGAATCAAGAACCTTAAAAAATATTGAACCAGACGCAGTGATTGTTTTAAGGGATCAATAGTTGTTTATTGATCCCCTTCCAAAAAATTTACATTCTTTTTTTTAGTCGGTTCTTTCTGACTACTCGCATATATATTCTTACTCAAGCAAAACCATACCGCGGCTTAGAACACGATACGCGCCATCTATGGACGGGTAGAGAAACTCAACAATGAACTTTATCATTTAATAGACAACTTATGTTTATGAAAGTTAACTTTTCCAAAAAAACTTTAACAACTTTTTTATTATGGCACAAAATTATAATATATAATTTTAATGTAGTATCAGTGGCAATGAATTTTAGTTAATTCAAGCCGGGCATTTCGGCTTATATGAAGTGACCACCGCTGTCTAAAACACCGGCATCGCATTCGTAATGTAATGCTATTCGTTCTGCAGAAATTAAGTGAAATAAATAAAACTTAAAAAACAACAATTCTTTCTTGTACCCGAAACAGGTGTTATATTTATTATTTTTAATAATAACACCTGTTAATAAAGTTTCCTGCATTAATCCGTGAAAAACTAGTTTTATTATGTCTATTAGTTTTTGCTGACGATATCGTTTTACTCAGTGAGTCGCGAGAAGGTCTTGAAAAAATGCTCAAGGATTTGAAAGACGCGTCTCTCCGAGTGGGCCTGAAAATGAATCACGAAAAGACTAAGTGGATGAGCACCACTGACGGTTCGACGATTTCAATAGATGGCGTAACGATCGAATGTGTGAACAACTTAGGCCAAAACATCATGCTAAGTAAAGACTCGATGGAAAACGAAGTTAACAGACGAATACAGCTAGGTTGGGGAGCCTTCGGAAAACTCGAAGATTTATTCAAGTCCAAAATCCCACAATCACTGAAAACACGCGTCTATAATCAATGCGTTCTCCCAGTAATGACGTATGCTTGTGAGACGTGGACGCTGACTGTCGGAATACTCCACCGCCTGAAAGTAGCGCAAAGGGCAATGGAACGTGCAATGCTTGGCGTCTCTTTGAGGGACAGAATACGAAACGAAGACATTCGCCAACGCACCCGAGTTACCGACATAGGTAAACGGGTTGCTCGACTTAAATGGCAATGGGCTGGTCATGTATCTCGAAGAGACGACAACAGGTGGTCGTACAGAACCCTACTTTGGAGACCTCGCACAGGAAGCAGAAGTGCCGGCAGACCACCTGCCCGATGGTCGGACGACATTAAAAAGACGGCAGGGCCGACCTGGACCAGAACCGCCGCATCAAGAACTTCTTGGAGAGTCATGCAAGAGGCATATGTCCAGCAGTGGACCTCATAATGCTGAGAAGAAGAGAGAAGAAGAATTAGTTTTTGAGTTAAGGAAATAATTTATTGAGTTTGGCATATTTTTTTATATTGATTTAGATCAATAAGAGTCAAAATATTTTTATATCAGTTCAGTAATGCATCTGAAAATGGTCGAAAAAGCAATCAAAATCATTGTTATGCAATCGTTTTTGAATATCTCCATTTGTATATTACCTAATTTAACTTATAAACATGTCGATTTCACTTATTATATTTTATTAATTGAAAAAAATACAAAAAATAATAGGTAGGTTGGATTGGAGTTGACCTGCACTAGATAAAGAGTCTGTTAGTATTAATGACGGAGCCATTGCTATGGATCCAAGTGGACGCAGGGAAAATGTTCCAAACCTAATCCATACCTTACATTATTGCAGGCATGTCGAGAAGGGGTAAACCGCGCGGTCCGCCCGGGTCCAAGAGTTTCGTCACTGCCCTCAAAGGCTGCCAGGACAAATTCTTCATAGATTTCATTCGACGGTAAGCATTTTTTTTAAGGAAGTGAAGAGTGAAGTAGAAAATTTCGGAAAGGGTTTTTAGAATCTACAAACTGTACAGGGATAAATTCAGCCCTTCTTTTGTATTCCAATAGCATTTAGCATTCCAAAGGATGTTAATATTCGGGATTACGGATGTTTGAGAATATTAATAAAAATACGATAATAATTTTTATTCGTGGGTCGTCATATTCACAACTTTTTATGGTAGAAGAAGTAGAACTGAGTTGCGAGACTTGTTTTTTTTACAAGTTATGTTTTTGATGGCATATATAATCTCTAATTCGTTGGTGTCCCTCCTACAGATGCCTGGAGTGGGAGCCCGAGAAGCGCCTGACGCCGGGCGCGGCGCTGAGGCACGCGTGGCTGCGGCGCCGCCTGCCGCGCGCGCCGCACGACGACGACGCCACGCACGTTAGTATCGCCACGCACGCCACGCACGCGCCACACGCCATCCACGCGTTGCACGACCACTCCAAGTGCGGCCGGCTGGCGTGCGCTCACGCACCATAGGTTCGTTAGTTACCGCTTGTCTGTACGGAGGATGGACTCAGCGACTTAAAAGTCAATGCGATCTGATAACCAGTACTTCGCGTTCCTTATATGAATATTTTATTTGAGCAATACTTACGTAGGACTGGCTCTCTAGAAACATTAAAAGCAATAATATGACCGACGGGCGCTAAGTGTGATAGAGACAAAGCGATTTAACAACCGAAAGCGGCAATGCCCACATGCTATTTATTGATTAGGTACTCTCCAGAAAGAAAGAAAACGGTATAATGCGGCCTATTGATCATTCAAGATCAAGTATGAAAGAGACTTAGCGATCTAGCGATTATTCGCGTTTCTAACATAATGAAATTGAGCAATACCTAAGTACCTACATGAATTTGATTAAGTACTCTCTAGAAAGATAGAAAGCTGTATCATCAGCAAAAAAAAAGTGTGTTAAAGACAAAGCTATCTAATAATAATAATAATAATAATAAATATTTCCGACACTCACACCAATTAGCCTAGCCCCAAAGTAAGCACTGTAAGGCTTGTGTTATGGGATGCTAGGGTAACGGATAGAATACATTACTGTACATATATAAGTATATTTATATAGAAATACATATTAAACTTCCATGACTGGAGTACAAATGCTCGTTGCTAACAACCAGCAGTTCGCGTTTCCAATATAAGTGATTAATATGAGCAATACATACATAGGATTTACAGACTAATAAAAAAACATGATGACGACGCCACGCGTGCGACGATAGAGAGAAAGCGATATCATCAGCCAAAAAGGGTGAAAGAGACAAAGCGATCTACATCTAGATTAAGTAGTTCGCATTTCTAATAAGTTACATGAGAAATACCATTCGACGATATCATTGACAAGGAACTTGAAAGAAAAGGGGTGGGGTGTGTGTAAGCGAGAGAGCAACATTAGCAGTCTATGAATAATATTTTTTATTGAAGAAATACTAAAATAGCAACAAAATGCTTTCAATGCGTTCCTTTTTCACTAGGTTATAATTGTGTTACCGATAATGTATTAGCTAAATATAAATATTGCACCGAATGCGTTTAAACTGTCGGTGTCGCCTAGCTTATCGATAAACCAAAAGTCGTGGCCGCGCAGTTCGGCACAAAGAATGGATTCTGCAATCAATGCACGAAATTGACAATTCTCTAGAACATCCTTTCTCAAAGTGTAAAAGACGCCCCCTTGTGGACTATTAAAGTTTACGAGGGAGATAGGTCAAGGATAAAAAAAAAGATTTGTATGTCAACGATAACTTCTCTCTCCTTTTCTTCTAAATAATATATTGAAATTGTTTCATAAACGAAAACTATCTTCTCATATACGAAGATTATTTATCGTTTATTGCTGCTCAATTTAATTAATTACATAATTTATAGCAGCAATTATAATATGAAGAATTTAATTATTTTAGGGGGGCGGTAGGATATTATGAAATCAAGAAGTAGGCGGTACACAAAATAGGTTTGAGAACCTCTACTTTAGAAGGAAGTAATGTATTATACGGTAAATAACTATTCGTATGCGTACTACTGGCCGTGCGATCGCTTCATCTCTTTCACACTTTCATTTTATTAATATTTGTATGTACAGGGAACGCTCAGTCCATTCTCTGTATATGTATTATGCTATATACACACCCCACACCACAACTACATATATACATCTCACCGTATAATCGTCCATACTCACATACGGTATTATGGCGCGATTACGTTGGGTCGCTAGCCCGAATGCGAGCGCCAATGGAATTCGGGTGACCGACTAAGTATAAATGAATGGAGTCTAGTATGCCCGAACCGTCTTCCAGCCAGCATTCCAGTGTCAATATCGCTTGGGGTGACCGAATTCGAGTAATGTCTTTCATGCACCCGAATACGGGCTAACGACCAAATGTAAAGCCATTACTCGATAGTTTTTCTCTAAAGCGAGTTAAAATCGACACGTCGCCTCTTACGAACGAACCTTTGAGTTTGAGTTTTTGCGGCCCACGCGTTTGATTAATACTCGTTTTAGGGAAAAATTATATATTATATACTTATATGAGTATGGACCTTAAAAATCGTAGAGGATCTTATAAGGCTGGATAAAAGAACTACATTATGTGCTGTGTATATGAGAATGAGAAAACTATGTCCAATGTTCGCTGAACTTTCATACATGCACGGTCATGATGGTAAATAAATTGTAAAATTAAAACGAAACATGTTTGCATATAGCGCGACAAAAGTGCGAAGCAACATATTGCGTCCTAATTCACCTATGATTTTAAATAATCAAAGTACTATGAATTCTGCTTGGAGAGTTCTGTTTTGATTGGACTAAAATTGGGCAGCCGAGCTTCTAGCCAAGTTCTTCGAGCACCCCACTCCTCTTGATTATGCCATGAAGCCATGGTCAAACGTATATTGATGCAATATTGCATTGATTGTTATGCCCGTTTGGATACGAATGTGGATTTACGCTTAAGTACTAAATCTATGCCGTTTTCATATAATATACACAGCATTCAGTCGGCTATATTGTGGATTCAATCCTTTTTGATTTACTACGTCCAAATGCAGAAACTGTCAGTTTATATTCTGTCCAAGGCGTTTGTATACATATTCTATAAATTGTCAATTTGACGCTAAATCTGTAAGATTTATTTTGGTCTTTTCATAAGTGACAAATCCTCACTTAATAACGAATAAATTGATCCTGAGTCAAACGTGAACCACTGTGTTTGCGTTAAACTGCTAATTTTAGTACCCGTTTATAATATACCGACACTTTAAAATCGTACGGGATCTAATATAAACTAACGGTTTGCACAATTGTACGGTGAAATACATACAGATACACACACGCAGAGACACTTAAATTACACGGAAGTGAAAAAAACATCTGCTGACGCTACTATCCCTTGGGCTAAAGTGATACAAACTCGCGCGTTATAAATTGATCAATAAGCGCAATGTCAATTGACCAGTAAGTTGTCAATGTACCAGTAATCGCGTTGACAATTGAGCAGTAAGTGCAATTTGTATTGTCCAGAAACCGCGTTGTCAATTTATTGATCAGTAAGCGCATCGTCAATTTAGTAGTAAATGCACTGTCAACTGACCAGTAAACACAGCGTCAATTGACCAGTACGTGCGTTGACCATATCTCATCAGACGGATCTCATGATTTCTGTAGGTATTACAGTTTATTTTTTGGCAGCTGTTTTCTATAAAGAGAAGGATAGAAGTGCTCCTATGGAAAAATTTTTGGTTCGCCAATTATAAAATCATTATAAAAACCACGAGGTTTAATTTAGCTTTGTTGCCTTATTATATTTACATCTCACTGCACCACTGTTACCAAACCAACTTTAAATGTCTTGTAATAAAGATCATATTGCTGACTGGATTACTGACCGATAAATAAATACTTGGCTAGAACAATATTACTATTATAGAAGCCCACCGTAAAATAACAGTACCTTTTGTTGTATTTTGTTTTTCTGTCGATGAATAAGGTTCCAGAGCACAATTGGGTAGGGGATTGTTTCAAGGTAGGAATGATAATTTTGGTATCGCAAGCGTCTATATACTATGGTGGGCCACAAAAAAAATGCGTTTCTTTCTCCTTTTTAGGTACAGCAGATGTTTTTATAGCGCCCAGTGTACTCTAAACCAGTAGTTCATCTTCCCACTTTGTTAAGCAAAATATATTTTTGTATATAAAATCAATCAAATAAAAACCCAAATTATTAAAACTGTATACTGATGTCCCATATAGATTAAAAATATTAAACTCTGCCGAGACTTTAAAAATTCATCATTATCGACTGACGGATTTATTATTTGAAAAAGTCGGATATTTTATTGCCCAATAACTTGTCCGAACGATCGTCAGAAGATCAACTACTGGTTCACAATATTATGTATTTATTGTACTGAAGTCGATTGTGGTTAGACGGGTAAATTTAGTAAATGTTTGTACTTATTCTAGAATTTAAGTTCATATCTGTTAGTTTTACATTCATGCGACATCACAAAGCGACAAATGCGAAATCAAAGAGTGACAAAGTGATAGAAATGGAATGCAGAAATGTTAACAATTGCTTGAAGGAATGGTATAAGGTGTCACTGGAAAACTAAAAGTAATTTTAGTCCATCTTCTATGAAAATGTTGGTAGTCAACTGGAAAACTAAACTGAATGAGAAAATATTATTTAATGTCTGAAAGAAAGCCTTTTGATTGCGTTATTAATGTTCTTGTCATCGTGATGTAGCGATATTTTATGTAAAAATAACCTAAATACTTTCATTAAAAAATTAGATGTTTCGTAATAATACAAATTTTATATGAAACATTATGATAAACTAAAAATTCGTAGCAAGATTCAATACAATTAAAAAAATTGTTTTCTTTGAAGAACAAAGGAAGATCAAAGGAGATTATATTTATATCGCTTTAGTTATTAGTTATATTTTCTTATAAAACAACTTAATTATAAATGCAACTTAAATAAAATAAGAAATCGTTTGTGGTTATCGTGATTTTCATGATTATGAATAAAATAATCCATATTTTATTCATAATCATGAAAATCACGATAACCACAAACGATTTCTTATTTTATTTAAGTTGCATTTATAATTAAGTTGTTTTATTTATACTTACACAGTATTATGTCGATATCATTATAGGTATTTTTATGATTTATCGTAATTTATTTATATTTAAATAGTATTATTAGATGCCTTGTAAACGCTGCATAGGTGCTTCGCTGGAAAATTCCTAGCTTCTGATTGAATTTTATTTTACGAATTACCCAACTATGATTAGATTTTTTGGCATGGTATGTTTTTCTCAAAATTTTGCTATCATAAGCATGAATTATGTAGTGTATGTGATTTTTTCAATAACTTTTGTCATTTAATAATGTTCATAGCATTTAGTAGCAGTAGATCGTCTTTAACATGTCATCAAGCATTGTTCATTACAGTCTGTGATTTTTGTTGTTTGTGTAATTAATGTTTTCTTTCTGAATGAATGCAATAGACCATAGTTTGTTAAATAACTTAATCTATTTTTTAATTTGTAAATAACAATAAATATTGAAAGTAAGTATTTGTATAATATCTAACTATGTGAATGGCGTTTAATCATAGTGAATTAGTCGCTTACCATTTTCGCAGGTCTAAAATGTTTCCACGGTCATTAAATTTAAAATCAGCCTTGCTTGTGTGAATAATCAGTTAAAAAGTAATGTATACTTTATGGGGATAACAATATTTCTTGTTTTTCAACTGGAAGATTTAATGCAAAATTTCCTGGTTTGTGTTCCATAAAATCTACATTCACAATTCAACCTCGATGGTATTTTCCACTTAAATCCCCTGTAATTTCTTTTCTCCAGCGGAGTTTGGTCTTTCGCATACGAATAGTATCTGTGATAAGCAATGTATTTTAACCTTTAAGAAATGAATAGTTATTTGCGATAGCATTCATTTTTCATCTACATGGGATAACTTTGATTTTTTGCCCTAAGATATTTCGCAATAACTGACGCGCTGTGCTGTCAATGTCCAAAGTATGATATAGGGAAGGAAAAACTTACTAAGCAGTTGCAAATTATATTTTATATCTAAAGCCCGACAACGCCGCCAAAGAGGAATGAACTAGGGATGTCTAGCGGAACGATGTTCGTGTGCATAAAATTTGCTATTGCACCATAAAGAGATCGGGAGCTCAATTTTACTCTTTTTGCCCTCTTTGTCATTTTCGCTCGGCTCTTTGTTCGTGGAAACAGATGTATGCATTTGTGTATTGCGAGGATAACAGAGTCATTAATGGGCTCGCTCTGCTCGCGGTGGAAAACTCCCTTAAGGGGCGAAAATATTTGCTAAAAATAGTTCCGAATAACGTAGAATATAATTATTTCCATGTCCCGTGGCACGCATTTCTATTAAATTGTTGCCATGACATGACATACAAAAACGAAAATAAGATTAAAAATATAGTAAGACTAAAGGCTACAGTGCTATTACCTTATTACAAAATATTGACTAAAGTTAAACTCGTCTAAAAATGGTGCTTTCACCTTTGTCTTTTTCAAAGTTGACGTTACAAAGTAGAGGTCATCAAACCGAGCGTATTGGCGGTAAATTCAAAACATTAAAAATAAATCCAAATTTAATTGGTCTAATGGAGAAAAAATAACTAATTCATTAATTTTATTTTTCTGTAAAATCGTTTGTCCCTATCTTTAAGTATAATTACAGTAGATATTTATTATTCAGCGTGGTTACAGAGAAGTAGAGACAATAAGTCTATCACGCAGGCATCGTGTTTGTGATACTCCTGGTGTTGCAGGTGTCTATGGGCCACGGTGATCACTTACCACCAGGTGAGCCGTCAGCACTCCCTATGTCCCATATGATATGATATATATAAAAAATTGTCTGTCAAAATCTTAGGAGATCTAAAACTGAACACCCCTCCATTGTCTTACTCTTACATACACAATCAGTGTACAGATGCAACACACTCAAATCACGGTAGACAGGAACATGGCAGTATGCTTCGTTCATAAAAGTACCATGAAAGTGTAGAGAGGCGTTCTGTTTTAGATTAGGCGATCTGCAAGCTTGAATTTGTGATAGTTTAGGTGCATAATGTTAAAAGTGATTACAGACGAGTAGCGGCAGTGCGGCGACGGGCGCAGGGTCGGGGTCGGGGGCGACCGTGGGGTCTGTGGGGGCGGGAGCGGGCTCGGGGGCGGGGGCGGGGGGCAGCGGGGGGCGCGGCGGATCCCTGCGCACCCCGCTGGCGAGGACGCCGGTCACCTTCAACGCGTCACAAGTGGCCAGTGAGTGTTTCATATTTGTATGATTTATGTATGTACTAGCGACCGCCCGCAACTTCGACCACGTTAAATTTAGTTTTTTTTTAATCTCTCAAGAACCTGGATCGGTGAAATTATAAAAGATACCTATCAATCAAATCAAACTATTAATCAAAAGTATGATTTGAGAGATGGAAATCAATTTCTAAATGAAGTCGTTGAGACACAACCGTCAGCTGCTGTCTCGCTCGCGCGACTGGCAGCTTTTGTGATATTGATTCATTGGTGAGAGAAGTGGTGGGAGGCGCCCTCGGTGACGGCACAGTGGTGGCATGCGCGTGAGCTGCGCGCGGTACCGAGCAGTACTTGAACATTGCAACATTACTTTATTTTTCTAAACTAAAAGATTTTTTCTAAAATAAAAGTAGCCTAAGTTACTCCTTATTACACCAGCTACCTGCCAATAAAAGTCCCGTCAAAATCAGTCCAGCCATTTCAGATAGTAGCCGGAACAAACAGACAGACAGACAGACAAAAATTGTAAAAAATGATATTTTGGTGTATGTTCATTTGCATGTAGTAAAAAGCGGTTATTATACAAACAGACACTCCAATTTTATTTATGTGTATAGATATATATGTTTAGGGTAAATGGGCAGTGTTAAAGGAATGATCGTAGTCATTCCAACTGTAAGTAGCCAGTGAGTACTGACTAATGTGTCATTTTATATGATGAATGACAGGAGTGATGGCTGGAGCGGTATACTCTTTTGATATATATATAGAATAGGACACGACACGATTTATAAATATCGAATTAAATCATTTATTTAACCTGTTTTTCTTTGTTGAGTTATAAAAAGAACTGTACCTGTAACATGAGCACATAGTTTATATTATATCACGTTTTCTTAATGTGTCTAGCTTTCAAAATCTTTAGTAATTTGACAATATTTAAAAAATATCGCGGTGCTCATGCTAAGGGGTTGAACTAAACTTATTCCAGCCTGAATTGGACAAGTCTCCCTTTCTGTTCCTATAGAGCTGCATGGTAGTGATATGTTGCTGTAAAAATTACAAATACATGCAAAATACGGATAATCATAGGTACCTATAAAGTGCTAGCACAAAGGTACGACACTTGTTTTACTATAATATATGACTGATGGCATTTCAATACATAGGAAAAATGTAGGGTAGGGGCATCAATGACCGATAATGAGCGCCATTTTGATCTGTGATCAATGAAAATAACTTACCGTTTTAGTGATCGGTCCCCTACTCTTAATTACATTGATTGTGCGTGTGAATATCGATAATTGGTACCACTACCTTACATATTTTTTTTCTTATTTGTAATGACATCAGTCGTATTTTGGATGATACAGCCATTGTCAGTGCCACTATCTTACTCGAAGGTATTGATCAGTAATTGTATTTATTTATTTATTAATGGTACAGCGACGGACAAATTTCAACTTACACATTATTATAGAACATTATTGTATTACATAAACTTGCACCCCAATTGATGTTAAACACGACATTGACTTCCGTTCAGCTCACAAATTTTAAATCATTAACAATAAATTTTGTTTGCAATCTGCTTGCTCATTAAGAACATTATTGTATTACATAAACTTGCACCCCAATTGATGTTAAACACGACATTGACTTCCGTTCAGCTCACAAAATTTAAATCATTAACAATAAATTTTGTTTGCAGAAGCGAAGTTGCAGGCAGCGTTGTCGGAAGAAGGCGGTAGTGCTGCGCGCGCGTCATTTTGGGCGGGCCGTCTGCCGCACCTGCCCGCCCCCTCCTAGCGCCCGCCCTCCGCGCGCCGCCTCGCCAAGGTAACGCGCGCTCATAGTCCGTAGATATAAGGCACAATATGGCGGGCCTAGCGCCCGCCCTCCGCGCGCCGCCTCGTCAAGGTAACGCGCGCTCATAGTCCGTAGATATAAGGCACAATATGGCGGGTCACCTGCCCGCCCCCTCCTAGCGCCCGCCCTCCGCGTGCCGCCTCGCCAAGGTAACGCGCGCTCATAGTCCGTAGATATAAGGCACAATATGGCGGACCACCTGCCCGCCCCCTCCTAACGCCCGCCCTCCGCGCGCCGCCTCGCCAAGGTAACGCGCGCCCATAGTCCGTAGATATAAGGCACAATATGGCGGACCACCTGCCCGCCCCCTCCTAGCGCTCGCCCTCCGCGCGCCGCCTCGCCAAGGTAACGCGCGCCCATAGTCCATAGATATAAGGCACAATATGGCGGACCACCTGTCCGCCCCCTCCTAGCGCCCGCTCTCCGCGCGCCGCCTCGCCAAGGTAACGCGCGCCCATAGTCCGTAGATATAAGGCACAATATGGCGGACCACCTGCCCGCCCCCTCCTAACGCCCGCCTTCCGCGCGCCGCCTCGCCAAGGTAACGCGCGCCCATAGTCCGTAGATATAAGGCACAATATGGAGGACCACCTGCCTGCCCCTGCCCCTAGGAGGGGTCCTAGCGCCGCCTCGTCAAGGTAACGCGCGCCCATAGTCCGTAGATATAAATATGGCGGACCAGCTACCGCACCCTCCGAGTGCCCCCTGGAGAACATTTGTTCACCATGCTTGTCAAGTGCGGATTGGCGAGTGCTAACCACTGCAGATGCAGCCGGGACCAACGGCTTAACGTGCCTTTCGAAGCTTGAAATAATAAGTTACCAATCCGAGGACCACGCATTGCTGAAGTTGCATATTTTCCACGTAAACCATTTTCTCTCAGTTTTTTTTGCTCTTATGCTACGTACTACAAGTCTTATATTTCTGTTCTATGTAATCCAGGTGTCATCTCTAGAGGCGCCGCAGCGATCGGCGCGCGCGGAACTCGAGCGGCGCAGCCTCGACCTGGAGCGCGAGTTACGCGCGCGAGTTGACCGCCTACACGACGACGACGCACACCTCGTCTGACGGCGACCGCCCGCCACCGCGTCCGCCGCGGGATTGACTGCGCATACACCGGACCCGCGCGTTATATAGCCCTCGCGAGACCGCGCCCCCTTTCCCCCCGCGCCATCGCCACCCCGCCCGTGCGCGCTTTAATAACTCGCACCAATAAAAGAACGTATCTAATACAAAAGTGCACGCGCTTGTGCCTAACTTATACACTAATACTGCATAACCTCTCGTTTATAAGGTATGTCAAGTATATGTCCTGTCAGTCGAGATGGCTGAATTCAGCTACCTCACAGACAAAGAAATAAACATGTGACATGCCCTCAAACGCAGCACCAACTTTGTCAACAGAGACGTCACACTGACGTAGCCAATCAAAACGCGGCTTACCCTCTCCGCACATCTTTAACTTTTGCGATTCCGATTTCGATCAAAAATTTAGTAACATGGACTGTAGTAGTACCTTCAATACGTTCAAAATATTAAATCAAACCAGGGATGTTAGATGGGCACCTAGAAATCCTTGTGCCGAGCTGGCTGAAAGCTGGTATTCGAGCCGGGAAACTAGTACGCCTGTGCTCCGCCCTGCGGCGCTGCCAATTCTGGGAGCTGTGTGGGAAATCGCATCATCCCAGTAAAAAAAATGTACATTTCAATTTCGTAGACCGTTAATAGAGGGCAGTGATTATCGAACACACGCAAGAAATATACTATATATACTCGATTCTTTCATCAATTGAAGAATATTAATCGTTTATAAGCACGTACAATTGATTGGAATTTTTTTTTACATGAATCTCTAAAATTTGTCGATTATTCTATATTGTCAGTGTATTTTTGTCGGTCAACGGCCAATCTTGGTATTTTTGCGTACAAGGACTGAATAGCCTTGGTACATGGTACGTGACACTAAAAACTAGTATGTATACCAAGAAGTTGGTACGTCTGACATCATTGAATCAAACACGCTGGTTAAAACAGTTAGATCAATCATTAATACGAAAATTTTAAATTTTTCTTCATGCAAACAATAATAATATGATCGACACCTTATCAACAAATTTTCCTTTTAATATCCATGCCAAGTAGATTATATTATGTTCAAATTACTTGAACGTCTATGGTAGCAATAGAATAGCGACGTAGGTCATTCTAACTCTCTCCCTCGCACTTCAATGATGTGTGAAAGGGACAAAATTACTTGCCACGCCGCTTTAGATTCGTTTTTTTATTGGTACGAGTTATGCGAATCAGCCACGCCTATTAAAACCACAGTGCGCGTTATCGTTGTGCCATTAGATACTTTTTGGCCTTTCGAAGATATTTTAAACACTTTAAATTTTGTGAACACACTAATATTATGAAAATCACTAGACGCTTTATCGCAAAAATTAGGCGTTGAAAATGACAAAAATTTTAAACATTGTCTAATTTTGTATAGTTCAACCATTAAACACGTATTTAGGAAGTATTCGAGATATAATAGTATTGTATTTCTTCATAAATCTTTTAAATGGAAATTTTCTTAAAAATACAATAATGATTTTATAGATCAGACTCGGACTTATCTAATTAATATCTACATTATAATTTTATGTAATATTTAGTGTATAACTGTTCTATGTTCCTAAAATAAAAAAAAATAAAAAAAAAATATCAGATGTCCTTGATAATAGAATAAAATAAAAAGTTTATTTTGTAAAATTTTGTATCGTAAGCTTTAAAGTTTATAATGCTACTACGTTAATGAGCACTCGGTTTTAATGAATACATCGCCCGCGTTCAGCTAAACAGCGCCTTATTCATTGTGAATTTAATGAAGAACACTTGAAACTAGCGTGTTAAAACGACATCAGAATTTTAGAAATCAAATTTGTTTAGACTTTTCGCATCGAACCTGGGACTGCGTGGTGGCGTGCCTTACTCTCGTCCCTCTGCCTGCGCCGCAAGTCAGGCTTGGCACCGACAAAATCCGCCGTCAAGTGACCGATTAGTGAAAAAATATCGCTATTTGACTGAAAATACACCCTTATGCCCATTAGAGAAGACCGAACTTCGCGTGCCACGTAATCTTTAATAATAAGAGCGCAAAGTTCTATTTTAAATAAAAAAAAATAACTTTACTCTCTTAGTATTAAAGTTGCACGAGAAGGGTTTTCTACTGTAGGCGGGTTTCCTTTTTTTGGTTAACGTGAAAGATTCTCTTGCAACGATGCGGCATAAACCCGACCATAAATAATTGTACTCCCGCGCCGCGTCGCGTCGACAGAATCGATCCAAACGGGCGATCATCATGTTCCTACGCATCGGACGACGGTGGATCGATCGATTTATAGTGCATAGAGGCAAAAATGATCTCAGTTATAAAATAAAGACTATGGAATAAGTAATAACGGACGTATAGTGGAATTGTGCGAGTGACTTAACAGAAATAAGAAGAAGCGTACCTTACCGTTTTCTATGTATTATATTATTATATATAATGAAAAAATATATACATGTAGAACGCGTGGACGTTCGCCCTGTGTGTCGGTGTGCCTATTGAGTCTGGATAAAATTAGTTATTTAGGAACTCGACCATTGTAATAGGAGCTCTTTGAACATTTTACCGAACGACAGATTGTTTCGAGAGGGCGATTTTTCCTGTGCTCCTGTACCCGACGATGCGGATTCGTTGTATCTTGCGACGAGCGAAGCAAGATCGCGGACGAATTTGATCATGCCAAAATGAGGGATGTGCGCTTTAGTATTTCACCGATTCGCAAACGGTCAAAGCAATTTGAACTTTGTTCCGTTGCAAACGGAGTTTAGAATTCACTTTGCGCGTTCTTGTGGGTGAGGTTAGATATTTTTGCGCTACATTCCTAACACGTCCGTATAAACGGACGTCATTGAGTGAGCGATTTTCTTTATTTATATATATGTATACATATATAATAATGTTTTAATTTAGAAAAAAAGCCAAAAATTCCCTCTCGAAAACCGTAGTGTAAGCGAAACTATTATTGTGTGTAATTAAACATAACAATTTTCTACGGAATCAAATAATTACAGATGATTTGTTTTTTTTTTGTAATTTTTAATTTTACAATTCGACATTAGGTTTATTATCGTGTTAGTTGTTCTCAAGTGATATAGTGGAGTTATAACGAAATGGTGACCTTACTATTGGAATTCTTTAAGGATGTAAGCATAGATAGACAATGGCCTTTCTCTAATTTTAAGAGCTATGCTATATTTTTTATTTCGTGAATAGCATAGTGTACGTTGTGATGTATTGATGATTTACGCATTATGATTTTTGTAATATGTAGAAATCGACGTACCTATAAAAATGTATCTCTGGCCATTGGTACGTACTACGTATAATTATAATATGTTACAATATTTTTATTACCTACGCAGTTCTTCGGAGCATTTCTTTTTTTTATTAATTTTGTCTACTGCTACCGACATCGTGGTTTTATTTTTAATTGTTTGTCCACATATCGAGGCGTTACAAATGCTTTCTCATTGATATACAAAGTGTTTGGGATGTTTATTCAGAGCTTTATATTCCGTCAATAAAGGAGACATTCGATTTTTGCCCAATTTTGTACCTTGGTACAAATTATCTCAAAAACTTCTAAAATTATAAACAAGGCTGAATATATAAATTACATAAGGAAATCTGCGTATTAAAAAAACTTTATTACTTAGACGCAATTTGTTATTGACTGACTGATGACAGCTAATACTATTGGTTTAATTTAATTTCCTTGATTGTGATTGGTTCTATCAACAATGAAGTGATATCAGTAACTAATTGTTTAATAACAAAACGAGAGTTAATACTCTCGATATGCATATTTACCGTATTATCTGTGTTGCCATTATTTTAAATGTTC